GGACCCTTAATCTTCTCTTTTTTGATGAAAAGTCCTGAGAAAGGGAATTTACACATATGGTAGAGTGGGTAATTTTTTTTAATAAAAATTTTGTTTTCTATTAGGATAGCAAAAATACCCTTTATTATAAAACAATGCACATAATAATACTCTCTAGGTAGACAATATGCATTACTTTGAAAGAAATAAATGCAAACTAAACCTCCCCACCCCTTGCTTAACGTTTATTTCAAATAATCAGGGCCCAAGAGGCATAAAGATATAAAGGGGAAAGGGCAAAAATAGTCTGGGTAAAAGCAATGTATTATTTGTCAAATTATAATAGGTAGCAACAAAAAGAGACAGTCTCTCTCCTGCTCTTGCTGTGAGCTTCTGCTTTCAACTCCTCCACCCCCTCCCCTATGTCACCCATCAGACATGATGCCAGGGACAGACCAAAGACTCCTGGTCCTTTTATTTGTTCAGGCAGTGACCAACTGCCTGACCAAGAAAGTTAATCTCCTAGAAAAGAGGGACAGCAGTAGCATCTGTCTGTCCCAAGGAGACATTTAAAATGTTTTTTGAGGTAATACCCTTATTTTATAGTTAAAACTAAAAATTTTGAAATTTTAAATCCTGTATGAATTCGATGTTGTGCTTGGGTCACAGAATATGAAGAAAATCAAGTGTGAATTCTAGAAAGCTATCACAGCTGCAAAGACGTAGGAATTGCACACTGAAGTGCTGTTGAACCACCATTAGACCTCCAGGAAACAGCCATTCCAGCTTGTGTGAGTACACAAGCCTGAAATCACCTACACAAAATGGATATGAAGGAAAGCCCAAATGGCTGTAATACAAAGTCCTCACTATGTGCCAGGCACACAGCCGGCAGCACCCTTTACAGATCTACTTGTTTAATCCCCGCGACCACCCTGGGTGGGGCTTTCTGTGGGTTCCCTTCTGAATCCAGCAGCTCTCACAGCAATCACGTCCTGGGCCACACTCAACAGCACACCCACAGTGAGGAGAAAGCCCAAAGGCCTGCCTGGGGTGGAAAAATCAAGTCAGGAAATCTTACCTTGGGGAATCCCAACTGAGAAAAAGAAAAGGACAATGTGCTCCAGAAGGCCCAGGAAAGAGCTCATATCATTAATCTGACAAGAGTAATGAGATGAGATAACTAGCACAGTGTGGCGGCAGAGTAAGGCAGGGGCTGACGAGCCTCCCCATTTCAAAGGCAGTTCACCGCTATTTAGACCCTCTTAGTGAGAAATGACCATTTTCATCACAAAACAGAGAAAATCAGTCTCACTTCCTTATCAGCTTAAAGATTAATGACAAGTTCACTTCCCAAATTCCATAATTAATAAATATTACCTTTTTATAACTGTAGAAGCCCCTCAGAGCTGAACCTCTTGCAAGACAAATTTGAGGTACACATGGTCCCCAGTGAGTGCAAGGGAGAATCAGTGTGGTCCTGTTGGTTGTAGTGACAGTAGGGATAATAGTAGCAGTAGTAACAGTAGTGACAGTAGTAGCAGCAGCAGTCACGGCAGAACAGCAGCTGTCGACGATTTTTACGCATACCTACTATGTGTCAGCCACTGTTAAGATCTGGACATGAAGAGCCTCATTTGATTTCACAAAAAAAGATAAAGTAGGTTACATTTTTACCCCCATTTAAGGGAACCGAGCCTTGAGGAGGTTCGGTAACTTGCCCCCAGTCACAGCACTACTAAGTGGTGGCCTAGGAATTTCAACCAAGCCAGTTGACACCAGAGCCTGTGCTCTTAACAACTAGACCACTTGGGGCTGGACAGTTTGAGATTTTTGCCCACAGATTTTTTTCAGCTGTTACTTGTTTAGTTAAAGTACTTTTTCAAACTGTCCCTTGCCTGTGGGATAAGGGTCACTCCCTAGAGCGAGGACAAGCTAACTTAGACAGCTCAAGAACAAAATTCAGCATTAACAATGGTAAGAGCCACCAAAGCAGGGAGGAAGGGGATAGTTCAAAGGCAGTTCAAATATCAGGAATAGCCAAAGATGGAAAATTATTGAGGCAGAGTAATGGGTACAAGAGGGTTCACCCTACTCTTTCCTCTACTGTGGGCTACGTTTGAAATGTTTCATAATAAAAGGTTTAAAAATGGCTTTGACTTACTGAGAGTTTATGAAATTTACGGAGTCATTTCCTTTCATTTGTCTTACTAGCTCATACTTCTATATGGTTTAAAATTTGAATGTTATAAAAAGTATACACTAAAAAGTCTCATTCTCACCTGATTACCCTTCTAGTGTTTCCTTGCACAAATATATACAGAGATATTCTTATTTCCTCACATTTCTTTCTCAAAAGGTGGCATATTACACATATTGTTTTCTACCTTGTTTTAGTCATTTAACCATGTCCCCTGATGATTTTTTTTTCATGTCAATGTATAGAGAGCTTTTCATTCTCATTTACAGCTGGTGAGTATTCCATCATGTAGATGTTACCATACACCATATTTAACTAGGACACCAAAGTTGTTTCCAATCTTTAGCTATTAAAAATAATGCTCCAATAAATAACTATATACATACTTATATGTCATTCCAAACACACACAGGAATAGGTGGAGGATAAATTCCTAGCAATGAGGTGGCTGCAGTGCTGTGCTAGTAAATGTTTACCAACTAACTCTTCCTCAAAAAAGATGCTGACTGCCGTATCTGCTGATTCCCCTGGTGTAAATACCCCCACATGGCTGATCTCAAGCAATCACCATGATGTCACTGAACATGGAGCTAGGAAGAGATGTGCATGGGTGGCTTATATGACCTGGCTCCAACACCCTGCTGGGGTAATGGGGACAAAAGGTAAATGCACCTGTAGTTCTTAGAGATATTACCAGATTCCTCCCCACTGCAGATATAACATTTTGCACTTCTACCAACAATGTATGAAAATGCACATTTCCAGACTTTGGATTTGTGATAAATGGTATCTCAATGTAATTTTAATCTGCATTTTTTCTGTTCATGGGTGAGTCTGAGTTTAATTTCACTTTTATTAAGGGCCACTTTCATTTTCTTCTCAGTTAACTGTACCTGTCCATTGCCCATTTTGTTGGTGGTACTAAGCATTTTGCATGTTTATTTGCTTATTACAGCAACTCTATAAGCAGAGGTGGATCCAGGTTTCACGGGACATGAAGCTTACACAATTTGGAACACCCTCTTTAAAAGAGCAAATATAAAATTATGAATACAAAATTAGGTATAAATGTGAGCATTTCTTTAAAATTAAAAAAATCATATCAATTCATTAGAGTCTTAAAGATTCAGGCCCTTTCTTCTAGGACCTTATTAGACAATTTAGCAAAATAGCTTCCTGACTCCTCCTAGAACAACTCTGCAACTCCCAGAAACACACTGCACTCACAGGGTCTTGAATCTTAACCTTTAATGGCTGCAGGGGAAATATGTGCCTGCCTGAAAGATAGGTGTTATTATCACCATCTCACAGATGGGGAAACTGAGGCTTAAAGATGCAATAACTTGCCCAAAGTCACAAAGAGGGTATCAAATCAGGCTGGTTTAATTCCAAAGCCTTTTTGATACACAGAGTGTCTCCCCAGTGGTTTTAAACCATTTACTGTACTTGATCAAGTCTGTCTTTTCAAAGATAATCACTTTCATTATTAGTTCTCTAGGAAAGAAATGTTTGATTTGAAACAAATTCCCAACTTCCATTTGTATTTTCAAAACATGTTTTCTCTTCTTTAAAAAAAAAATCAAAAGCTCCCTGGAATGTACCTAAATGCAGAGGCTGGGGTCAGCATCCTGCTTGTCAAAGGGGCCAGGGCCTCATCTGACAGGTTCTCTGACACTTCAAGATGGACAAGCAATGAGTCAAGAAGATGACTCAAAGCCTTCCCTTTGTATTGGGGGTGGGGGGTCTGTTTTCTGCTGAACTCTTGCATTTCCAATAATCTACTATTTTTTTTAGATCCTCAGATTTGTCTAGAAACAAGACTGGGCCCAAGGACTATGATTAACTTTCGTCTGATAACTAAATACGTGAAGACCTTAAATCTACGCTACAAGATAGGATTTTTCCACTCCAACTCAAAAAGAAGCAGATTAGGCTGATTAATCATTTGGGGCAAACTCCAACATTCTCAAAAACAAAAGCCAGATTAGGAATTTTCACCAAAGATGTTGCTAGGATATGCTGCTAGTAATATTTAATGTCTGGAAGCCAGAAGGCTGAGCACCCTGCAATGACAGGGACAGTCCAGCACAGGGAAGGACTGTCCAACCAAAAATGCCCAAAGCACCCTGCTGTAAAATGGTGATGAGTAAAAGGATTCCTGAGACAGACCTTTGTGGACATGGAGTTAAACAAAAGTGAACATGGATGTGGCTACATTTTATCCCAGGCCTTTGAGGTTCCTCTATGGCCAAGAACAAGAAGGCTCTAGGCACAGAAGGTGCTCCTCTGATGTGCTCACTCCCTGGACACTCACTAAGTCCCTTGCCTAACAGCTATCAAGAACAGCAACGTTGGGTCAGACTTAAGAACAAAATAAGCCTTAGATTTTAAGAGTTCATAATTCTTTCAGCATCCTCTTCAAAAATAAAAGGTTTTTTAATTGTACAATATTTTAAACTTTTGAATTCATCAAACTTTTTCAAAAGTACTTTTCTCAGTTACATAAATATTATCATTACTCAATATGAATGGTAGAAAATATAATAAAATCAAAAGTATAATTGTTTTTTATCCAAAAGCTATGTACTAATTGAGCATTATTTATAGGATGATCTAATGAATATTTATCAAAACAAAAGGAAAATATGTTATCCTTCAGACCCAAACATTCTGTAAATACATGTCTTGTAAAACAGGGCAGCCTAGATATATTCTTAAAAGAGATTACACGTGTTTATTCATTTCTCAGTTATGATTCTACATTCTTTGAAACTAACACTTCTGTAAACAAGTAAAGAATTTTTATCTTTATCAGTTTTACCTGCTATTTGTACTGAACCATCCTCTCCCAGAAGAATATTACCAGCTTTCAAATCCCTATTAGGAAAAAAATAGAAAATAAACTGTAGAGTACAGATATTGTATTAACTCACTCAGGAAGACTTTAAAACATACCATACAATACAGCTGTTTGACATAATTATTATTATGTAAATATTAAAATTATATCACAAATTTTTTAAGTTACGAGAGCACACTGTCATTTTATAGTTTACTCCTGAGGGACAGTTAGGATTTCAGTAATAAATATTTTATGTGAAATCATTATCCATATTTAATTACTAGTGAGTAGACTCTTTCAAGTTTCAGAGTTAGAGACTGTCTATAAACTCACAATACTGTCACTTTTTCAAGAATTAAAGCCAAGTCTATGTAAAGCTGTTCCACTTCCACTTAAATTTGTCTGCGGTATAATTCCAAATCAATCCCATCTCCTTTTAGAATACTAACTTGATCAGCCTTTCCTCTGGGAAGATACTGATTATAAACACTAATTATAATATTCTATATTATATTTCTTCACTGTATAGAAGCTGTGCAAAGTAATCTAAACAGTTAAAGAAAAATGACTTACAATTTATAAGTTTGATTTCTAAAGTAATATTTTTCTAATTATTGAAAATACAGTAGATATCATTAAATCACAGTCACTTATAGTTCAAGGTAGAGGAATTACATTATTAGTATTACTAGTAAATAGTTATTATTAGCAAAAATTCCTAAGAATACAAGTAACATTAACCCATTTGAAACAGTAGGTGCTCGTATTCTATATTGTTCAGCTATTTAAAGAATTAGCATTTTATATCGCAAAAGAAGATTAAATTAATGCCTCTTCCTTCCCTCTCACGACCATGTCAAAAATAACTAACATATTACAATGTATAGAACAGCCCTGCCTGTATTAGAAAGTTAGAGATGTGATCCAGTTTAAATGAATATATTTCAAGAGAAATTACGTTTACTGATTTTTTTAATGAGTCCACTTAGTACTTCCTGCATTCTGCTCTTATTTCAGTGAAAGCAGATAAACCAGCCCCAAGGATACCAATATAATTCATCAAAACTTATTCTCTTTTTACCTTCTTAGGTACTTTTTTCCCATTTATCTAGCCTATCTAAGTTAGAAGTAATACCAATACCTACCTGCAACATGTTTTCTTAAAATTCCTTACAAACTAGGCTAAAAATAAGAACAGCCGAATTTAAACATCTCTGCAGAGGTCATACCTGTGAATCTGACCATTTCTGTGTAGATAGTCTAAGCCTTCCAAAACCTCTTTAAGAATTGTTGCTATTATTGCCTCTTCCAGAACTCCATTCTTGTGTTCTCCTCGGTTGACAATGTACTTTATGATATCCAACATTGAACCTAAGTGGACAGAAGAATTGAAAACAGAAGAATTTTATAAGCACCTTTATTACCTTTTCAGAATATGGCTCTACTATTTTGAAAATTAAATGGAAACATCAAAATATGGTTTTTGTTTGTTTATTTACTGCAAATATTCCCGAGGCACACAAACCATTGAATGACATCCACATGACCAGAAACAGTAAATGCAAGCTTGCAAGAGCAATTCAGTGTGAACTTAATGGAAAGGATTCTGGGTCAGGAATCAGAAGACTGTTCACAGCCACTTCACAGTTAGTCCCTTTTGCCTAAACATACAATTGGTTGCAGTTTCCAAATAGGATTCAAGATATATGAGCTGACAAAGAAAGGAGTAGGAGGCCAGGAAAAAAGACAGCTATGAACTGTTGAGAGATGAACTCCAGCGCTTCCTTAATACCTAACATAGGTGGGAGGAAAAATGGAAGTTTGTTGACTTTAGACCTCTGCTTATAACCACAAGATTCCTTTCTGTGACTGTACAAAACCCTTGTTTTCATTTACCTGATACTTGGTATACTACTTTTACAATAAAGAAGTAAATACCCAGTACTCTGTTACTATACACAGCTTAGTATCCTTGGCACTGCGAATTCATGTTTCAACACATATTAATTAATATTCCAAACCTCTGGGTCATTTCAAAAACCACAATTACCTGGGGGTTCAACATTTCTGAAGAGTTAGCAAATGGCTTACCTCAGGCCCTGAATTTGGCTCTAGGCTCTCTTCCTATTAACTAAGAGAACTGAGTTTCCCTATCAGATATTACTGCATTAGACTTGCTGCCCAACCCTCATTAAGAAACTCAATGTGATAAAACATTATAGAAGAAAATAAATGCATGTTTCCCCCCAGAGAACAATAAATCTGTTTATTCATTGACTCAGTCTTTTGTGTCATATACAGAATGATAATTCCAAAAAATTTTTATTTTTATTTTATAAGGATATGCCATATCAGGCATGCATGCATTTCTGGTCTGCTGAAAGAAAACTGAGCAAGAGTCCACATCTGCCCACATTCCCCTTACCTGTGGAAACCTGTTTAAAACCTGTTCCTCTTACCTAAAGCCCAGGGAGATTAAACTGGACTCTTAAAAAGACACTGAAATTTTCTATCAGGTCCTCCTCAGAAAAGAGGACAGGGGATATTCTCAAGTTTACAGAAGTAAAAGGTTATTTGAAGTAAAATCTTCACCTTGAACAGAGCATCTGGGACTATTCTGGATCCCAAGTCATCAGAATTTCTCGTTTCCTCAGAGTTGGTGGAAGCCCACAGGAAGAGAATTGGTTAAGATAATCTTGTTGACAGCACGACCCTCTAACACTGCAGTCCAGCTCTGGTAGGCTTTCTTTTTGTTTTTCTTTCCCCATTTTTCCCCTTTTTTTTTCATTTTTAATTAAAAACCAAAGTAGGCACTCAAGAAAACAATGACTAATAGGATTGAGGAAGACTGGGCACAGAACAGAACTAAGTTCTCCCAGGGTCCCTACTGAGACCTACACAAGCAGACCCAAGCCAATTACAATGCTTTCGTCATCTCATTTGTGAGCCTCTGCTTGATATAAGAGAGTTTCTTTAAAAAAAAATAATAATAATAAGATGTGTCTCTGGATTCAGCCTTAGCTGGAATTGGGAACTGGGTCTTCAGATTAAGATGGGCTCTATCATATAAATTCTGCTATGCCAGTTTTGGCTTTGTCCAGGCACTGCAAAATGTTCTCTGCTCCTAAACCATACTTCATGTCTCAGAAAGATATACAGTGAGTGATAGCCTAGTGATGCAGGCAAGCTGGGTGTTGCTAAGGAAATCACCTGGGCTTTCCAAGCTTCAATGCCCTACATGGGTCTGTAAAATGAAGGTGACAATACTTGCAGCATAGCATAGTTTTGAAGTAAACAAGACCTACAGTCACAACAACAACATTTACTGTGTGTAACCTTACGCAAGTTGCTTCACTCCCTTGAGCCTTGGTGTAATTTCTGAAAAACAGGGATGGTACTGGCCATTCAGGGGCATTGTCAAAATTGAGATAAAGCAAGTAAATTGTCTTGAAAAGGATCTAGCCACAGGGTAAGTATTCAATAAAGTTAACAGTTATCATTATCATCCCCTCTGATAGTGATGTTAAAGATTAAAAGAAATAAAATACAGGGATGTGAAAGTGCCTTGTAGATTAAATTGTCAGTGGCTTGTGTTACTTAGAGGATCTGAAGCTAAAGAGGGGAAGCTACTTTCTTCCCAAATGCAGCAACAGGATGAGAACAGCGCCACTTCTGATCAACACTGCAAGCAAATAATTCAGCATGCATTTCTCTCTATGTCAATTGAAACAACATTTATTGGGCACCCACAGGATGCCAAGTTCAATGAATTCAAACTACACTACACAGTTTTTTCTTCACGAAGTCAACAATCTAAATGTGCATTGTCCAATACCATAGCCACTAGCCACATCAGATGATTTAACTATCAGTTAATTAAAACTGAATGGAGGGCCGGCCCGGTGGCGCACTGGAGAGTGCCCCGCTTGGGAGCACGGCGGCGCTCCCGCCGAGGGTTTGGATCCCATGTGGAGACCGGTTCCCACTCACTGGCTGAGCGTGGTGCGGGAGCAACACCGAGGGTTGCGATCCCGTTACCGGTCAGTAAAAAAGGAAAAAAAAAAAAAAAAAAAAACTGAATGGAAACTCAGTCCCTCAATAACATTAGCCACATTTCTAGTCACATGTGACTAGAAAGTAGATTGCACAAGTAAAAGAAAAAAAAAAAAAAAAAAAAAAACTGAATGGAAACTCAGTCCCTCAATAACATTAGCCACATTTCTAGTCACATGTGACTAGAAAGTAGATTGCACAACTATAGAACATTTCCATCATCACAGAAAGTTCTAATAAACAGCACTGAACCAATTCAGAATATTGCAATGTGTTAAGGACTTGAATCTTGTTTTAAAAAAATGTTTAAAGAAAAAGGACTGTTTAACTTTTTTTTCGAGAGTACATGGTGGCTGCAGAAAGGATATGACCTTCTAGGGTTTGAGCACATGGTAAAGGAAGGATAGACATTTAAGGCTGAGGAAGAGCTCAGGTACAAAGCCCAGAAGCATTACAGCACATAAGGTTTTTAGGGGGCCTCACCTACTCCTAGAAGATCGAAGTATTTAATACATGGAGTAGGTACACAGATACTCTAGGAAGTTAAGCCGAATTATGAAAGGCTTTGAGTATCAATGCTAAGAAATCTGGCTTTATCTTCTCAGCAGTGATAAACGAAACCAAACTTCCCAGCACAGGAGTGAGGGGATCAAATCTTAAGTCTTATTCAACATTCTGGCTTCCATAAAAGGGAAAAAATGAAACAAGCAAACAAACAACAGCGACAAAATCCACTTACCTCCACTTAGTAATTTCATGACCAGCCAAAGTTCATCTTTTACCACAAAAGAGGTGTAATAGGTCACTACGTTGGGATGGCTGCACTGACTCATGGCTTGAATTTCTTTCTATAAAAAGAGCAAAACATGACATAGTATCATGGGGTGAAAAGTGGGAATCAAAACCCAAGTGAACCACATTTGAGTATCTGGGTAACTTTCCTACTCATAAACATACCTGGGGGTGGCCTAAGACATTACTTCAAAGAAGTTACATAAGGATTTATTCGCTCACCCTCATTATCGACTTGCTAGAACTAGACTAGAAAGTCCTCTCCAGGAGACCACAGAGCCCTATGGACCAGCCACAGGACTGAGGAACTTCAGATCAGCGTATCACCCAGATGATCCATGCCCCCCAGCCCACTCTGCCAGCGGAGAGCGCTGCCACATAGGACTAAGTGCCTCCTACCTGAACTGAAGGCCTCAACAGAGGGATAAAAGACCAGGTGAGTTATTAGGAGACCTGTGTCCTGGTGCTAGCCTGAACTCTGGTGGGTCTTAGCTCCCCACTCATCCAAAAGGGGAAAACAAAACTGTCTCTGTTTCTCAAGACTGCTGTGACAGTAAATGAGAAAACACATATGAAAATGCTAGAGTATCATTTCCCAAACTATCTTTCATGGTAAAAACTCCATCAAGAAAAAAAGGGGGATGGGAGGGGTGAGGGGGAAGCAAAGTAAAATAAGCTTGGAAAACATCGGATGTCATATCTCACTTTAACAGAGTCACAGGGAGTATTAGTGCTGTCAAAGACTCCGAGAAGTCCTGCAGTAGGTAAACTATCATAGTTCAATCCATATTAACAATACAAGAAAATAAGGCTTCATGGGTCACATTTTGGAAACACTGCTATAAATAAAACAAGTTTTATAAAGACATAAAACAACAAAACTTCGAAAGAAAACAAACGTGCACTTTAATCAACCACATTTTTCTGCAATACTCAAATTCATAATGATGTTGGTTTGTTGTTTTCAGTTATTGCCTGATGACTCCCATAAAGCCTCAATTGAGGGCAACCAGACCATAGTAACTCCCTATCAAGGTATTGTCCAAAAACCACAAGAATAACCTAAGTTATCAAAGAAACTTCATTTATGCTATTACATATTTATGATGAAAGTAAAGTGTATTTATGCATCCTGTAGATATTTTCAATAACAATGAGTTTCTACTTTGAGTTAACTCAAATTTACCTGACCAGAACATTCCAATGTGGGCTGCTATCTTTGCATATCCAGTACTATCTAATCCTGAAATTACCAAGAAAATCCTCTATATCAGATAACTTGGCAAAAGTACAACAGCATGCTTATTTCAAGTGTTATTTTACCAAAGCTAAACTCCTAACAACTTCACTAATTTTTCTATTTTCTTTTCATAATATACACAATATGTTTCCCCTTCATCATTCCCCTCATCCATCATCCATTTAACTGATTACAGGTTTTCTAAATCTGACACTTTACTTTTTTCTTTTTTTAAAAAAAGGGGATCTTAACCCTTGAGTTGGTGTTGTCAGCACCACGCTCTCCCAAGTGAGCAAACTGGCCATCCCTACATAGGGATCCGAACCCGGGGCCTCGGCACTATCAGCACCACACTCTCCCAAGTGAGCCACAGGCCAGCCCTAAATCTGACACCTTTCAATTCAGCAACTCCTGTCTCTTGAACAAGATCTGCAACCTGAGGTCCAGTTTCCATCTGTTTCCAGTGTTAGGTTCTGATACCATAAGACCCTTCTGAAGGAGAAAGGCAACACTACCCAAGCCACTCCTATTTCAAGTCACCAGCATCTGCTCAGTGTGGAGATGGCCCACATGGAAGGCCTGATGCATCAGGGAGGGTCTACTTCAAACAGATGCCCCCAGTGTTCACACAAATGAGAACAATGTTTCTCACCATTTTATATTCAATGTAAGTAAATGCCCTTCTAGCTTCCTAACTCCAAATTTATAAATCATTAATCAAAATGCACAATAAACAACCAATGCTCGTATTGGAAATTCTTTTGCATCAAAGCAAGGTTGGGTCAGAGTCTGGAAAAACACATTTTTTAGCCCTTTGCATTTAGATGGTCAGTATCGCTTCCTATACAGAGTATCAGTTTCTCTGACATTGCAATGAACAAACTGTGTGTGTGTGTGTGTGTGTGTGTGTGTGTGTGTGTGCGCGCACGCGCGCGCGCATGTGCATGTGTGACACTCTTTTAGATAACCTATGGGTATAACTTAACAAATTCTACTTCTTCAAAATTTGGGGTCTTAGAGATCCCTCTGGACATTGAAAGGTTCTGAGGATTTAAAAAACGGGGGTTGGGGGCACAAATTCCAGCCAGCCAGTACAACCACAGGAGCAGTCTAAGGACAAATCAAAGGAGGGGTGGGGAACCGGAGGTTGGATCTGAGTCCACCTGGCCATTCAATAACCTCACAATCTTCTTCCAAGCAGCTTCACTGTCCCTCTTCACCATGTGACTAGGGTGTTCCTATCCCCCACTCCTATGGCAACTATTTTAATGCACAGCCTTTCCATGCAGTAGAGCCTCTAATGCTTCAGGACATGATGAAACTTGCTGAGGGAAAAACATGTGTCATTCTGTCTTGGGATATGACCCATGCTATCACTGAACCCCCATAAGAAGAAATATTTCCACAAATGGGGTACGAATATACAGGAAGAAATAAGATCCTTTCTTGGCCTATCTAACCCTTATTTTAGTTTATATATAACCCTTTTGTTTATTTGCCTTCTACAGAGGTATAAAAAAGTAAAAACTTGAAAAATATAAATACTTTTTCCATAAAACTACCCCCTCCATCTCCATTTCTTTTCAAAACACTCATGATGATGATGGTTGCTATGTAAATACTTCCTTTGTAACAATCTATCAAATTATCCAAACTTTTCCCAATGCCCTAACTTTATTCATATGATTAGGAAAAGACATTTATTACCAAACATATTCATTTGCTCCCATCCCTAAAAATGACTAAGGTATTGACTAAAGATGCACAAACTGATATGATAAAAAAACTTTTTATCCAATTCGTCCTACAGAATAAATGGGTTCTAATATCCTATTCCCTTCATTAGGTCACAACCCACAAAAGAAGTGTGATTTAGAGCAGAGCTTCCCAAACACAAATGTGCACATAGATCACCCAGGGAACTTGTTAAAATGCAGATTCTGATTCTGTAGGTCTGGGGAGAGGGGCCTGGAACTCTGCATTTCTAACAGGCTTCCAAATGATGCTGATGCTGATGCTGTGGATGCAGGAACTGGACTTTGAGTGACAAAAGCAGTAGACTGAGCTTTGAAGGAAGGTGGAAAGGGGCCAGGGCTGAAGGAATGTGACAGGAAGGAGCACAAAGGGCTACATCGAAGCCTACAAAGTTAAAAGGGCCAAGGGGAGGACAGGCCCAACGGCACTGCCCGGCTGAGTCTGACCAGAGGAAAGGGCTCAGAAGCAACTGTCAGAAATAAGGGAGACTATAGTATTCAAGGGGTTTGAATTTCACAAGGACAGGAAAGTGTAAAAAACTAGCCAGGATAGAAAAACAGGAGGTCAAAGTTGGAAGAAATCACAGAACTCTGAAATCCAGGCAAAACATTTGCCAAAAATATAGTCAGGGAATTTAACACAGTAGCTCCCTTGGAAGCCTAGTGAATAAGTCTCATACATGTCACCAAGTGCCAAACCAAGCTATGGCACAGTATTTAATCTTCTCTGCTTATGCAGCTTCATCTGAAATGCGTCACAAGTACAATTTTACAAGAGTGGGAAAACCAACCTAAAATGGAGTAGCAAGTAAAATGCCCTATCCATCTGCTAAAACTGTAGTGGCAGCCACAGAAGCATTCCTCAGCTGGGAGCCACATGGCAGGGAGACAGGTCAAAGAGGGAAACCCACGCACTGCCACTGTGCCAGCCCCGCAAAATGTGCCAAATAAGAGCACGGCAGAGGCCGCTTATGTGGACATACTAGGTTTGGTGAGGGATACAGAAAACAAAGTATCCTACACTAGAAATATAAAGGGTAGGAAGCAAAATAACTTCAAAAAAAAAAAAAAATACAACCTGTGTTTGAATATTTATGAGAGATTTCCTTATACTGTTATATCGCCTTTGTTCTCCCCCCAAAAAATCATTTCCCTATAAATAATACTGAGGAAACACAGGAATTGCGATTAACAAGGATCTGATTCTCCAGGAATTACTTAAGAAAGGCCATACTCTAAGTCACAGCTGGCTTTGCAGTTTGGCTCTGCCATTTATCAGCTTGATTACCCAGGTAGGTTATCCAGCATCTTTGTGCCTCAGTTTCTCTTTGTGCAAAATAAGATTAAATCTACCATCTACATAGGATTAATGTGAAATAAGTGAAGTGAGGTCTATAAAACTCCTAGCAGAATGCCTAGCACAACACAAATGTTAAGTTAATTTAGTCTCCTCCTCTCAATGTCTCAGTTCCTTCTTTGCATGTCAGCATCCCCATATTGATCACTAATCTCAAGTGTCCCAAGTTCCTGACTAAGCCTCAAAGGTACAGAAAGACAGACCTTGGCAGCAGCACTCACCTTTTCCCATAGAAATGTCACATGACACACTCATTGGCCCTGCTGGCTCAAGGAGTTTCCTGTAAATGCATGGATAGGTCATTTGGTCACGAATTTTTAGCTGCACTCTTGACTCAACATTATCCCCATCTGTGTCTTTCTTATTTCACCTGGTGTTTAATTTATACCACCTTGTCATACTTCATGTATCCTGTTAACTTCTTCAAACTCTTTTGGAATAAGGAGTCTAAATATATACTTATGCAAAGGGTTCAGAACAAAGAGAAATAATACAAATTTGAGGATACAAGAATTAAGAAAATGTTAAAGCCTGGTTTCTTTTGGCCCTGAGACCATGAGATTCACAAAGTACTAAAAGAAAATAGATTTTATTACTAAAAAGGAAGTGTTTAAATTGATTCTGAATTCAAAATATTAAACTATATTTAGCATATGCTCACAACTTATATAAATTCTAAAAAAAATTATTCTGTATTTGATAATG